ATGCACAATTTTGCCAAATTTGTGCCATTTTCTGCAAAAAGCTTTCTCCTTTATAATATCAGGATAGTCAGTAAACTACCAAAACTTTTTTTCCAGTCATTTTACATTTTATATCTTTATGTCTTACAATTTAAACCCAGAGTCATGCTGACAGATTTTTTTTTTCATTTACCACGACAGCTTTTCTTTATCATGTAGAAAAACTGAGATGTCCTTTTATCTGTCGGTCCGATTCTAAGACATCTCGAGGATTAAATGTGTAATTAAACTGATTTAAACTGTCAGAAAGGGGAATTTCACTGGTGTGGTCCACTTGTGATCAAATGGGGGTGTATGTGGCTCATGATGTAAAACATTTGTTAAAAAAACAGAAGTAAAAAGTGAAGAAAAAAAAAGTTTTAAAATAGTGCATTTATTTGGGCTTTTATTTCGGTAGTACGGAGCGGAAGCAGCTAGCTTCTTTTAGGCGGAAGCGCTGAAAGACTCAAACCTGTAGTTTGAGAGAGTTTTTGAAGTGGTTGAACAGGTTCGTTCCGGGCGGTTCTGATGTGATCCAGGTCCTTGTGTGAATCTGATACCCTACAGACCACCCAGAGTTCCCCGCGGTGGCCGCTGTCATCGGTTAGCCTATTAGCTTCAGCGTGGACTAACTTGTAGGAGTTAGGTAAAGATGTCGGGAGGAGACCCGAGGGCCGTATTGTACTACAACCTGCCCGCCTCCGTTGACTGTGAGTTCTGCCGCATCATGGACGGGCTGTCAAACCAGGACTGGACCCGCTTTGGTGAGTCAGAACCCGAACTTTGACTGAGAGCTAAAGGCCAGCAGCTTGGGGTAGGAGGGACGGTGAAGTCCACCGTTAATTGGGTGTTTCACCAAAATAAACTCTAGCGTGTTTATTCTGTGTAACAACTTTAACTGCTGCCATGTGAAATCACTACAGAAAATGAGAATTAAACAAGCTGTGAGAGCCTCAGCTGTGACCCATCCTTCTCAGTCTGCCCTCAGGTACAGGGCTTACCTGTCCCAACTATTTCCACATAGTTGTAAAATATATAATCAAAGATTGCTTCAGCGTGAGTGTCAGCTGAGATTAAATCAGGTACAGTTTTCTTCCGATATTAGGTCACATTTTGACTACAGTTAGCCTAAATATAGATAAATTCACCGGTGGCTGTTTTGAGGAAGTCTCTGGTTGATGTTATCTGTAAGTGCACTTGGTTAATATTGTGTAAATACGGAGTACAAGAATGTGACAGAAACTGAAATGCCTGTGTGTTCTGACACATAATGAAATGTGATTAGAAACAGTTTGAGGTTTCTCAAAAAATCCAGAAGTTTTCTGTTTTACTGTAAACTCTCTTAACTAAGGTTGTGTGGGGTTTATTTGACTAAAAATTAGGTAGAGCTCTGTTATGTTGGTGTACTATATTGAGTTCAGGTGACTTGAAAATCTTAAGTTTTCTTCGAATGAAATACACTTTTAAAGTTTTACATTGTATTAGCAGCATTTGGCGATGGTGGGGAGGAAGACCTCTGGCAGTTTCTCTTCTACTTAAATAGAAGTTTTACCGAAAAACGACAAAGTTAAATTTAAGCATTAGAGAACATTCACAGCTGTCAAAGTGGAACACTGAAAAGAAATACTAGAGCAGTTAGAGTTGGCAGAAAAGATGATTTAAAAAAGATTTAGATGTAGGGCTCAGAAACTGTATACAGATGATGGAGCTAGGCATTATGATGTTATTTTGAAGCCTCACCTTTAGTGTTTTGGCCACGTGCACCTTTTCTCTGATATCACCATCAGTTCCAATTTGCATCACCCTCGCAGCCATCAAAGGCAGCTACTTGTGATCCCTGAGACATCGCGCTGTTGTGGCTTATCCTGGTCAATATAAGCCACAAAGTTTAAAATGGTAAATGGCCTGTATTTGTATAGCGCTTTATTTAGTCCCTAAGGACCCCAAAGCGCTTTACAC